GAGGAGGAGGAGGAGGAGGAGGAGGAGGTGAGAAGAAGAAGAAGAAGAAGAAGAAGAAGAAGAAGAAGAAGAAGAGGAGGAGGAGGAGCAGCCCCAGCAGCAGCAGCAGCAACCAAATTTCTCAAAGATGAGTCTTTTCGGCCTCGGAAACAGGTGCGTCGATCGTCCGTCATCCTTTCTTTTCTTTTCCCTTCCCATTTGTTGTTCTCCGTGTTCATACGTTCATAGTCTTTCTCAATGGGAATGAATCTCTGTTCTTGGAGGATTGGCCGACAATGGATTGTCATGTTGGTAAATTTTTTTTTATTGTGTACAAGGCTGATATGGTTTTTGTTCCTTTCGATTACTTCTGTTGTGGTTATTATGTATATATAATTGGAGATTATTTGAGCAGGAATCAGAAGACATTTCGGCCTAAAAAGAATGCTCCATCTGGAAATAAGGTAATAAAATCTTCTGTTTTGATGATTAACATTTTGATCGCAGCGTGCCACCCCACATCAAAGGATTGATGTTAGGTGCCATGTCTCATCTTTAACAAAGGAAATCACGCACATGTTCTTAATATGTAGAATTGTTTTCTCAGGGGCTGAACTGCCCTCATTTACTTGATAGGTGCGAGTAAAAGCACAACCCGGAAATCTAGAGAATGTTCACATAATCTTTTAATTCATTTCTTGTGCTTCACATCAATTCCCCTTCTCCATTGATCCTTGGACATCGTTGGCTGTCTCAATTTGTACAGGATGATACCATTTAGTGTATACATGTTCTAACGTATATGTATCTTCCTAGTGCTTGTGGTGTTAAGTTCAGACTAAAGTCAATTTGATGATTCAGGGATTATCCAAAGCAACAAAGAGTACCGGTCGGTGTGCGGTTCAGATGCTCTGCATTGTGTATCTTTCTTAGTTGTGTGTTTATCAACCTCCTAATTTTTTTTTCTAATGTAATTTATTTGAAATTTGTGAAACTGAAACTCCACTCTGAACCAAAACCGAGAAGCGTGCCGTTCTATCGGTAGAATTGTTTTTATCCTCTTCATATTCTTGATGGTCCATTTCAGCTTGCTAATAATTTTATCAATTTACAGACCTAATGTTTTAGGTGTCAAAAAAAGAGTAGGATGTATAGGCCAAGAAACTCTTTGGACATAATTTATATCTTCTAATCAAGTGCTTAGACATTGAATTGCTCTGTAATGTCCTACTAGAGTTTTGTGTTTTCTTTGTTGCTTTCTTCACCGAAATATCCCGTTGCAGTCGATTTGTTTGATGGCTAGTTATCGTACTGATGACTCCAAACAATATCCACATCTTAAATATCTCCTCCCAAGACGAAGAACAACTCCGTAGATGACGTCCGGTAGTTCTCTGCTGCCAGCGCTACCTAAGAATTGGCACATCTATTTGTTGTAGAGTTTATCTCCGTCGGTGTGAAGGTCGTCTCACTTTGGTGAGAACGGAAAATCTTGCTTGCAAAGCTGAAATGGTTTTTTGTTCTACTTAATATCATGTACTGAAAAAAAGAAAACCTTCAATAGTTGACTCATTTTTATTTTTATTTTTCAAATATTTGTTTGTTGATGATCTAAACTCTCATGACTGAATGATAAGTACATAATTATTCTTTGGCATCGGTGCATTCAAAGTTACATATTGCTGACTCGTTCGTATAGAATTTTTCCAAATTCTTCTGAGTTTCTTCTTATGTTTCCAAACAGGGTGCACAACTCAAAAGACACATTGATGCTACTCTGGGGAGTGGGAACCTAAGGGAGGCTGTTCGGTTGCCGCCTGGAGAAGACATCAATGAATGGCTTGCTGTCAATAGTAAGTTCTGACTCTAAATGCTGTCGGCCAGTGCATACTGCTACTAGACCATTAGATGTTCCAAACCAATTATTTCTTCGAACCTTTTTCTATTGCTGCTCTTCGAGATTCATAACTCTGATACCCTGAAATCGTTTTTCTTTCAGCTGTTGACTTCTTCAATCAAGTAAATATATTGTACGGCACTCTCGCTGAATTTTGTACTCCAACCAGCTGCCCAACAATGTCAGCAGGACCAAAGTATTCTTCTGTTTATAAATCTTGATCCAGTCTCTTTCTCATCCTACGTTATTCGCATTCTTCTTTGGATGTGCAAACAAAAATAGAAGTTGATATTGTCAAATGTCCATTTTTTCCTACAGTTCAATCTGCTGATCATATATTCTCGTCAGGTTTGAGTACAGGTGGGCTGATGGAGTTCAAATCAGAAAGCCAATTGAGGTTTCTGCACCAAAATATGTTGATTATTTGATGGACTGGATTGAAGCACAGCTAGATAATGAATCCATATTTCCCCAAAGGCTTGGTAGTGTATATGCTCTTCGGATGTAAATTGCTTTTCTTTTCACTGTTTTTCACTTCTAATCAACACTGGCTGCACTTCAGGAGTACCATTTCCTCCCAACTTCCGTGAAGTTGTAAAAACAATTTTTAAGCGTCTCTTTCGGGTATATGCTCATATATATCATTCACATTTCCAAAGAATCGTGAGTCTCAAGGAAGAAGCTCATCTCAACACCTGCTTCAAGCACTTCACCTTATTCACATGTGTAAGTTCCTTGTCTTGATCATATTGAAAATTAGTCCTAAAAGTACTTGTGAAAAAATCTAAATATGAGGATCGATTGTCCTGAATATATCTTTTTCTGATCTTATTTTGTGTTTGGTACTTTTTATTCACAGAAACCATCGAAAATTGTTTGGTCATTAGTTCCTATGATAGATATGAATTTGTCTTTTTTTTTCAATTTATTATTCATAGAAACCATCAAAACTTTTTTGGTCATTAGTTCCTGTGATAGATATGAACTTGTCTTTTTCTTTTTTCCTCAATTTGTAACATTCAATCCAATACAAGCATGCATTCATGTATTACACCCATGTTACATCTTAATGATATCAACATTATCTTCATCAATGATTAGAAAATTGGAAAGGCTCCAAGGCAGGATATTTATCTGCCTTGCAACAATGTATTATGATATTGTGGTTGGAACTAATATGCATGTTTAAAAGATTTCAGCATATCAATTGCCTACATTCTCATTCCCTAGTATCTGCATTCTCGATTTAGTGATTACGCTACTCTAATGCCACTACTAACTGTTTTCAGAATGTTTCCTTATCTGAATCCTTGATTTACTAATGTAAAAAATAAAAAAAAGGGGTCTCTTTCTATTGAGAATCTGAATGAATGAATGAAGATAGATAATTGTGTATCAGATTGATAGTAGTAAGAATATGAAAATACTAATTATGTGTTACAGTGTAATAAAACAGTACAAATGCATTAACTTTTGGTTCAATCTATGAAACCATGGACAATTTCTTGTTTAATGAAAAAGAACCTTTAGAGGTTATGCCACATCATTATGGTTTAGTCAGACAACTTAACCTCTGACTTTGGCCTCATTTATCTGCTTCTAATCTCAATGACAAAAATTACTATGGCCGACTCGTAAGAAGTGTTAATGTATGAATCAAGTCGATACCATAACAACTAAATCTTAATTGCTGGAAGAGAAGGTACCTCTAAAAGTTGATCGACCACAGAAACAATACTTGGTTGCAGTATGCACACAAATATCCATGAGTTGAAAATTGCAAATGTTCTAATTTCTTGCATTTTATTTGTCTTTTTATGCAGGAATTTCGCCTGATTGATGAGGGAGAGCTCGCCCCTCTGCGAGATCTAATTGAATCCATTATCCAAGCACATTGAGAATATAAATAACCTGAAGTCATATCTTCTTTTCTCTTCTTCCTCGGATCGGATCGGATAGTAATTCTTCTTCATGTGGATGAATTTGTGGTGGGGGGAAAAAAAATTTCTCCTCTTCTCTTCTTCCTGGAATAGTGAATTTTTTTTCATGTCGATGATGTTGTGGACAAAAAGAAGAAAAATTTCTCGGTAGTCTTCAAATGTTGTCTTCTACCAAATGCAATTCACTTCCAGAAAGAGTGGATGTGAACTTTCTCATGTTGTTTGATGCGAGAGTAATGCCATCATTGCGGTGCACAAAGCAAAATCAATAGTTTTAAGAGACTATGAAAACAATTTAACTTAGATATTGTGGATTGTGAACTTTTTATAAATAAATATTTTTGTGTCATTTAATATTTTTGATATTTTGAAGTTATTTTGGTACTTGATATATGACATTATGTTTATCGATAACTAACATTTTATTAATGTATTTTATACTTTGTTGTTTAGTATTTAAAATATGCTAATAATATTTTATTTGATGAATCATACTTTTTTTTATTTTTTTTATTTTTAAATTTTAAATTGTTTATTTACTAACATATAAAATATAATATTACTTTGCGCCGGTTTAAAATCACAGGTTAGGCAAGATCTATTGAATAAAAATAAATAAATACATGAAAATAAGAAAAATAAAACTTTGTTATTATATATTAAACAGAGTGAACTGAGGAATAATACCATGCAGGTGAAAAATAAATAGGGATTTTTCGGGGGAATCACCCATTTCTTTTCCTTCCTGAAAAGGTATTATTGTTGTTCTTCCTTAATTAAAGAAATATAGGCAACAAAACGAGTAACTTGTCGATGGAGAGAATAAATGTACCATAACTGAATGAAAAAGGAGAGCATTGGCATGTCTCTTCAGTGAGCACAACCTGTGAATAACAACAGCTCTTGTAAGTTGTAGGAACCATAAATCGAAGTTTTTGCTCCACAAATTAAATTTTAGATGAAAGGAAGAGGAAAACCAAAGTATTTGAACAAATTTCAAAAGTGGAAATTTAATTTGATTTATTTATTTTTTTGATATGTAAGCATGTGTCGGTTTGCCTTTTGCTTATGTAACAAACTAAAAAGAATAATAACAATAATGACAACAATATGTTGTGGCCCATCTCGGCGTAAATACTCGCTCCTAATGCTTCATTACCTTCATTATACCTTCTAATTATAACTCTTCTGTAATTCTTCCTTTTATTCAGGGTTGTAACTTCGATATAGAAATTCATTTGATGATGCATTGCTGTTCCGTCGTCACCAGAATGAGCTTGGCTTTCTTCGGAAACAAGAGCTCAGCAACTGCAACTGCTTTAAGACGATTCCCCTACGCTTGATCTGATCTTAGGAAGCAGGATCTCCTCGGCCTTATAGATGTGCCTGGAATCCCAGGTCTTGTTCACCCCTCTGGTGCTTTTCACATATGCAGCCTGGTAGAGGGTTAGCGTAGAAGCACTCTTCCAACTTTGGAATTTCCCCGGGCTCCCTCATATATGGACCTCCAGTTTGGTCCTCATGTAGTTTTTTCACCTTTGAACTGAATTTTTTCCAAGAAATATTCCCTTCATCAAACTCGTCGACAAGTTGTATAAAGTTCAACCTGTGATACATATACCGATTTTAAATAGGCAACCTATATCTCAGAAAAACTAATGGGATGATAAAAAAAGACGAGAAAGAGCAGATATGTGATCATAAAGATAAATGATACCTATGATTATGTTCAACAAGTGAAATGAAAAGAAATTAAAAATACAATGGTATCATGATCATTTCAAAAAGGCATTACAATATAATGGTGTCTTGATCATATCAAAAAACAGGATAATAGGATACTGAGAATGAACAGAGTGAAATTATAAATGTGAAAGACCAGCATGTGGCAAAGTCCTTGTACATGCAGAACATGAAACAACTCTACTGTTTGAGAAAGAGAACTTTGTAACATTAATGTAAGGTAAACCATAAAATGTAGATGACATCCTGCCATACAAACATCATGAAAAATAATCTAAAGAAATCCATTGTTTATGTTATATGCAGATCTTCGTAATTCAGGAATTGCATAAACACAAAATTTTTAAATTTTGGTTCAAAACATGCACTCCTCCAAAAAGCACACTGATCAAATTACCACCAACTCTGTTGCTCATCCAATTTGCTAGTAAGTTGGTTGCAATAGAATATCTAAAATGTAAATTGAAGATGATGTATCTATTACCTGTCTGGGCTGATGGTTTTTCTGAAGTTCTCAAAACGCCTATGACCCTGAACAGCCTTAGCCATGTTTCCATCATAGGTGTAAAGGAAAACATCACTCTCAAGAGCAACAACATAGTCCAATCCAGCGAGCATGTTTTGGTGATTCCTTAATGGCCTAAGTTCTTCTTCTGACGATAATGTTGCATGGGAGAAAATATTTGGGAAGTCATCTATCAAATACTGCATACTGCCATTTCCATAAGCTTCACCAGCAACCAAATATATTCTTGTGTTTGATGGGAATCCTAATGCTTTAAGGAATAGGGCAGTCTCCCTTGGCGTCAAAGGGCAGCCACCCAGCTTCCGTTTCTCAGTTCCATTGATCTCCTTCTCTTTCCAATGGCTTACTCCATAACGCATTTGTCGAAGTTCATCCCCTTCTTGAAGAGTCAAATTGTGACTGCAACCAGTAAATGCCAACATGTCCTTTTCATATCTGCCAAAGATTAAAGAGACTCGCATCAAAATTCGAGGAAACAACTAGGCTCACATTCATGTAGAGGATTTACTAAATTCTCCATTCACATCTATTTTGACTTTCACAGATGCTACAATACAGACAGTTCACATCAGCAGATGATGTCCCCTGAATAACATTTTACAGGAAGAAAGCTCAATGCACGGACAGAGCAGCTAAATAATCTGCAGAATAATTAGGTAGCCAAACTGGATTCCTTTTACTCGATTTAGAACGTAGTGGCAAGAATCTCAAATGTTCCAATAAGTACACTAGAGAGCTACTTATATCTCCAAATTACTTAGTCCTTGGAAGTAGAACACAACTGTTGACCAGAAGAACTTGTAATACAATATTAGTGAATAAAAAACTGTGAAGGATGAATGTAAGATTACATATGAATGAGCTTATCGCAAGAAGCAAAAAGGATAGCACCAATTACAGTGAAATTCTGACAAAGTCCATAATACACAAGGATGAGAAATGATAAGCACAAAAAGCCTCTTAGGTTGGTTACACAGGTCAAGGACAAAGCACAGACAGAAGTATATATAGATTGTGTAAAATGACTGAGAAGATTGTGTTGACCTTGTGTAACTTCAACAACAACTGCATGAGGGTGCATAAAGCTGCATTCAGATTGATGAGCAATATACTCACTCAAAGTATACTGCAATTTGAAAGCATTACTACTTACGCATTTTTGGCAGAGTCTATTTCATTTCACCACCTGTTGAATAATCCAGAACACTCATCAACTTGGCATCTCACCTACCATACAAAATACAGTTCCTCTGCCCATAACACTTTAAAAAATACCATAAAAAACTCTTGATATTTCATGTTTATGATATGATGAAAATATTAACCGGATAAACACCTATGTGGCACTGAAATTGGGCCACTAAAGCAAAGTTCAAAGAAGAGTAATTAGAATCTTTTTTATATAGTGCCCACATAGTTCATGTTCACACCATACGTGTTTTATGTTGAGACCACATCCATATTACATAGACAGTAGGCATTTGGAACATGCGTAGCTCATGTTTAGAAACAGGAGAAATACATCGACTACAGTTAGCACAAAACCAGCAAAAACTTGATGCTAAATCATTAGTGATTCCAAGCTTACATTTTGCTTTTGCAGCCTTCCCATGACATTATGCTATGTAAGAAATGGCAGTTTTTCTCCTTAAGGAACTTAGGTGAGTAACAGCAGCTCTTCTCCTCCACAGAAGGATCATAGGTGTGTTAGTGTTGAATGTTGAACTATGAACATATAAAATTAAAGTAGGCTAAACCAAAAGCGAATGTTTCATGAATAAAAACTGAGAAATTTTTGTACTCATGATTTCTCACAACCAAGGTTTGCAATTCTACCCGGGCACCAGTTTGATACAAGCAGTATTTAACGGTGTAACAGCCTACAGGTATGCGGACCAGAGTAAACCGGATGATACATCTAGTCAAGACTTATCCCCCAATTTAGGGCCTCCACCAGCCAATAACCTTTATTTTATATACATACTAGCATAACGACACACGGTAAATTGGTACATTAGGTCATATTAAAAACTTTGCTCACAATCAGATTAGAATATGATTAAGCCTTTTATTTTATATACACTTTCAATTGCTAGAAAAATATTCCCACCAAAACATAGAAGAATGATAGTGTTTCCACATGTATGGTTTCTTAAATATGATCAATATACTAATGTACATAACCAACAGCACCTAATCTAATTAAATAACATTTAATATCATAATAGTTTGATTTTCTTTATGTGGACTATCGTTTAAAGAGCATACATTTAGAATCTTCCAAATTAACTCATAAATTCATCGAAAATAGGAAAAAAAAGAAGTTTTAACAAATAAGAAGATATTTAATAACTAATCTGGCATCAAGTATGCATATGATTCAGTTCAGTTCAATATACAAATTTTGCATGGGAATGGATATGACTAAAAAAGAAAAAGAAGATAAAAGCCCACTGGTCATTAGAAGCAGTCACTGAAGACTAGAAAATTAAACTGAATCAGAGTTTCAAAAAGCAATGTATATACAGAAGAACAAGGATTAAGAAAGAGTGAAGAAGATCAGTGCAAAATGTGGAAGTATCCTCCCATATGGATCCTTTGTTCTTGCATCGTGGAATTAGGAAGATTTGTCAAGAAACGGAGAGAAACCTTCATGTATATTGCAAGAAAGAGAACTGAAACTTCTGCTTACCCAAAATTGCTAAATTCATGTCATTAGAAATGGTAAAAAACTTGCCTTAAATGGAGAGCAAGATATGGACTTCCACCTTTGCGCATTCTCGAAATTAAGGTGGCTCCAAGTTCCTCAATTGTGGATGAATATTTGAGTGCTCTGTAGTTGACACGACATCTCAATTTTTGGATAGAGCTTGGAAGTCCATTATTTGCAAGTCGAGAATCTGTATGAGTGAAATATATAACTTTGTGTCGTTTCAGAAGTGGGAGAATCTCTGATTTATAGTAATTGACCTGCAGAAATATAAGTAAAATAATCCAGTTATGTTTTCCATGTGATGAAATAATAATGATTTTTCTTGCTCAAGAACCAATACAACCTTGGACCAAGATATTGGAGTTTTCATAAACGGTTCAATCTTTGCATAGGAAGCTGATAATGTTTCAACTATATGCACTTCATCCTTGAGGGTCTCAATGAAATGCTTCCAATCAAAAAGATCCTTGAAACCACTAGAAATTTAAGAAGCAAATTATGAGACTTAATGTACAGTGAAAACACTGAAAGCAATTGCTAAAATATTTACCAGCAGCATCAACCAGTAATAATAACAAACCTATCATCTGCCCAGTAGGAGTTATGGTCAAGCGAAGGAAGAACAAGTGCCGCCTTCACAATCTTTGCAACAGCAACCATATCACAGATCTGCATTCTAGAAAACAAACACATAAGTTTGGCTGCATGGCCTTTCACAAGTCCAATTGAACTGGTAGAGATGTAATCAGACCCCAAATCTCATCTGATTCAAACCTCCATTTGCATTTATTAGAATGTAGCCATTTATTTTCGCATCCATCTCTGCGAAGCAATTACAACTTTTAATAACTCATTGATGAGAAAATAAAATCACAGAAAAATGTAAGTGAACAAAACAGACATTCATCAATATATTAGGCCAAGATATAAATAAAAAAAATTAAGCTTACTCTTCTTTTTTGTATGGTCAATACACTGGCTGAAGTTTTCACTGTTTGGCTTGGCCCATATACCTGAGTACTGTGTACAGGGAAACAATTTACGGTTAACTAACTTATAGCCCATTAGGCAAAGTACAGAAGATGAACTGCTGTGAAATGTAACTTGCCACTGCACTATTTTCACTGGAACCGCTGCTTGATGTGATAGTCATCAGTGTTCGCTCACTATCACTTGCATCCCTATACCTGTGGGTATTAGTTATCTTTACTTCTGAACTAGCAGATTGAGTGCCAGAGAGATCCTAGTAATCATAAGACTTAATTATAAGTACCATATATTTGTTTACTCTCAGCATATCGTTTCAGAAACTTCTCATTGCAACTTTAAGTACAGAGAGAATCAATGATATATAAAAATTGAAGCAGCAAGAACAACAATCCACATGCATGGATTAACAGAGGTCACAAAAACTACAATAATTATGACAACTGACAAGATCACAACTATGCTATCAGATGGTAAGCTCTTCATGGTTCAAAACATGATCTGGGGAATTTGACATACATTACAATATCAATAATTTAAACAGGGACTCTCAGAGTGAAAGAAATGAGATGCATTGGCTCTCATGGATTTCCAAGTTGTTAAAATTTCAATCATGGTTCTCGTAATCGGTTCAAACATTTCAAATTATCAGTCAAAGTTGAAGCATTGGCCAGTTTGGGATGGTTATGTCAACTAGCAGAAGTTCAAGTTTCTCCTGACCTGCTTCAAAAATACAAAGACAAAAGAGTAAGTACTCTGATTCAAGCAGATTAGTGCAATGCTGCTATTTATAGGCATTAGGATTTTAAACACCAGTGAGTTCATTGAGAATTGTGACTGAACAAGCTGAACTAATTATGCCATTTGTTCTATTATTACCTTTTGATGTTAGGAACTGTTCCTAGAATTTCAGTTTTCATAGCTTTTCTGAACTTTTCTTCTGAGGCTTTCCAAAAATCAAACAAAAACCAAGACCCAATGAAAGAAGTCCTTTAGATCAAGAGCATCAATGAGTTTCTAACCACAAGTAACTAATTAAAAATCCTTGGATAATGATAGATCTTGTATTCTAGTATAGATATTGTGGTGTTTTATAGGTTAAAAGTGGTGTTTGGCATATGTGCATTTGTGACATGTACCATGGTCACCTTTTTGGTAAGATGTTGGAGGCACACTAAGTGACCTTCAGTTGGCCTTAACTATCTCACTTTATAGTCTGAGAAAGGGAAGATACCGTATAGCTGCTTACAGATAAGAGTCTGGGACATGACTCTAGTGAGCTTGAGTAATAATAGGAGGAAACCCTTTGGATACACACATGACAATCGGACCTAGCTGAGGGTGTGTCTGCATGCCGGAGTTCACGGACTATGTTTTTAATGATTTTTTTTCTGTTTTTTCTGTTTTATCTAAAGAAACCCTTTAGATATACCTCAATCCTTATGATTTTTATTCTATAACAACTATTTGAGATTAAGAAATTTGACAGGAGCATTAATATTTGAAGTAATATTTACTTCAAACATTCAAATTTGCAATCTAACTGGTGCTTTCATCTCATTAATTGGGTTAAATAACATTTTGCAGTTTTCAGTGGGAAGTTCTCCAAGTCTTTTTAACTACCTCTGCTTTTTAATCCCCGGTCATTGCTCTCTCTGGTGCTTTCTTTCTACATGGTCTGAGATGATAATATCTTGAGTCCATGCTGAGGTAGCAGAACCACCAGAGTGCAAGCAGGCATGCTGTATCTTGGAGGATGGCAGTCCTGAAAGCCCATGTTCAAAGGGTGGTCTAAATTACTCTCAAGGAGTACACCAAGCACAACCCTAGAAACCTACTTCTTCAGGTTGATTGAATGTCTTGTCTCGGTCATTTACCTTGGACATTCCTTACATTAAGCATAGATTTTAACCAATTCCAACCTGATATATGAAAGAAGTGTACTGACTGGATGAAAGTAGTTGAGTCGGTGATCCAAGGATTAAAAGTCAATACATCATATGTTGCATCATTTTCCAGATCTGTCAAATCAACCGAAGAATCAATAGCTACTGTCGCTGCAACAACCATTCTTTGTACACAGTAAATTTCAATAGAACAAAAGCCAACCTATATTAAGTAAATAATTTCCTAAACAGATAATAAATAGCAATGCTAGAATTACTCCTGATTTTATAGAAGGCTACACAAAAACAATCAACTTTTAAGCTAATATGATGGTAGACTATCAGAACAGCACATAAGAATCTGAATTTGCATCCAAGATCGTTCATAGAGAAAAGAGAAGAAAAAGAAATAAAGAAGCTTCATCAAATGCTTGGATACGGTTATCGAAGGATACATCCTTTAAGCTATACCGGCATTAACAAAGACATTAATGATTAGGTCACGAAGAGAAAAGATTTGCTGCCAGAACCACAATAGTCTCGTTGAAATGGTAAAGAGTGGAAGATCACCTGATAATTCCTTTCTTTCTCAGCTGTTTGCAGCCAAAACCACCCGCCTGCGAAGATCTTCACGGCCCCAAGCACCATGCAAAGACTACAAAAAGCAAAGAACAAGAAATTCGCGACCTTCTTCCTGACGCGCAAGCCCGTCTCCGTTGCGCCTAGCTGCTTCTTTCCCAGAATGGGTACACCGAGCCGGAACCGCAGGTTCTGGTGGTGAACGGCGGCCCCACCGCCATGCAATTTCTCTCCCGCCGCCGCCGCGGCCGCCGCAACCGGAGACTCCGCTGCCTCCCCCAAGGGACTCCCGGGGTTTTCGGCGGACGCCGTCCTTGGGGAGTTGATCTGGAATTCGATCTCGCCGCTTCCGGTGGTGCGCTTGAAGGAATGAGTCCGCCGAGTCATGGATCCGGTGTAGCGGGGGCTGTTGACGACTTGGTGATGGTGGTTGTGGGAGGCGCCATCGCCGTGATTGTTGTTGCCGCCGTTGTGGTGGTGGTGGAGGTGGTGGAAGTGAGGTTGGTACCCCATGAGAGAAGAGACGAGACGAGACAACACAAAAGCGATTTTCGAGAGATAGGATTGTCGATTGGGGTTCGGAAATAGGGTTTACAGTTATCTTTCTAGTTTAGAGGCTGGGGAAGAATCGGATCGCCATTAATGGGGCACGCGGAGCTCGTTTCCGGGAATGCACCGGCAGCCTTTATGGAAAGTGTTGAGAGGCCGGTGGAGGTCGGAATCGGACACAACAGTCGGGAGAATAACGAGCGTTGCCACTCCATACTTTTTCGTGACGGAAATGCCCTCATCGGTTGGTTTCAATACCTTTAATGATCTCACGCCTGTTTTAGAAGATAATTACCCGAATTTGATTTGCTGCACCATCTCATTCTATTACTGAATCATGAGGTCGTGGGTAATTAAAATTGTCGGTAAATTCCAATTAGTGGACAGTTGAATAAGAAATAAGCGGCGGTTATTGAAACCGAGTGGGTTGGTCGTTGGACCGATGGTCACTGGTCGAAGTGGTATCCTAGTCAGTCAAACCACATGTCTCGTATAATATTTTTTTTCTTTCTTTTCCTTTCCACTATATACCTTTTTTTTTCCCCCTCTTCTATGTTAGAGTTTATTTTTAAAAAAATATTATATGTTAGATTTATAATTGAGATTTTATTTATACTCTAAAAACATTTGACAAGTGAGACTGATACACCAATATCAAACCAATGACATGTATTTTTTAGATTCATAGAACTAATGTTCTTAGAAAACAATAAATCCTAATATAGAGAAAACAGAAGAAACAAAATCTTAAAAGCTAAGATTTGATTATTTTATAAATATATATATATATCACTAGATTTTGGTGAAAAAATATATAAAAAAAATGCATTGAATGTCTCTCAGTTGTACTCTAGTGAATGTTCACTACAGAGAAAGTGAATAAAAAAATGATAATTTTTTAAAATTTACCAAAACTTGTCATATATTTATTTACCTATCCAACCTTCGCTGGCTGTGCCTTCTGGTCGAGAGACTGCAATCAGCCTACAGAACATAACCTTGCACTGCGAAGATATTGAATAACTGGAAAATTAATTTCAGTGTCAAGGAATTAAATATTTCAAAAGAGGCCTCCGTTTCACTACCCGACCACTGAGAATTCTTGGTCGATCCTAATCCATCAAATCCTACCGAGTAGATAAAGTCAACAACAGGTTTTCGTTGAAACTGCAATTAGCTTTAAGACAAAGCATCATAACCTTGCACCACGTAGCACATTTAAATGATTCGGAATGTGGCTTCTGCTTCATTTTGATGGCTTCTGAGGATTGCAGCGCTTGGACTTTGGTCTCTAGTACAATTAATGACTTGGACAATTCACTGTAGGAGCCAATCTTAAGATGTTTAATTAGTTACAGGGAAAAAATTCCAAGAGAAATAGCAAACCTTAATTCCACATACCATGTTCCGAGACCTACATCAAAGGCTTGCCACACAAAAGACGACCAAACTTGAAAGGTGACATTGAGAGAATTTGAGCATCTTGAAAATAATTATATGATTTTTGTCAACCATAACATGAAAAATTTTGTATTGTTCAGTCTCAGGGGTCTGATTAAGAAATACTTGATCTCTTGCATATTTTTGAAACGCCTCTAACAAGTGAAGAAAAGGCAGCTATGCCCAAAGCAAGGTCAATCCAAAGAACAGAAGAAGGGCCAGGCCGAAACACAAACCTGCAATTACTGCAAATGCCTGAAACGGATGGATGGAGAACAGTAGTAATTAGTCTCGGAAAACTAAAGAGTGAACTTGAGGAACGTACGTCTAAGTTTGAATCTTCATCTCACCTGTTCCTTTGATTCGAACTTGAACTTGACTGTGAACCAGGATAGTCCTCGGTCAACAAAAGGAGCTAATGCAAGAGCCCTGCAAGCAAATAACACAAAGTTGGGTCCATGAATTAAAGAATCTAACTCCATATGCCATTGTTTTAGTAGATCTAGAAACATGGCAGACGACCAGGAAATCCAGATAATATTGTAATAAACTAGTATCAAAACAAATTAGATGCTCAATTATCCCTTGTTACAGTGAGTCAAAATGCATCCAAACCAAAGTTCTCAATATTATACCGTACCGATATACCAAGCAGCTATCAGTATGGCAGCTGTACTACCGATATATGGTACACTAAATATATCACCCATATCGGTCTTCTATCCGACCGGTACATACCGCTCGTATCAAACGGTATGGGACGGTATTGCAAACCATTATCCAAACAGTATGTCTTTTTCTTATTGGACATACAGATAGGGTCTAACAAGCAAGTTAACCTATCACATCCATCATTTATATTGGAAGGATATGATAGTTCTTCAGATACCTCAGGCAAGATCATCTTACCCTCCTGCACGTACAATCTTGGTGACTTGGCTCCCAGCCCAGATCGTCGCCAGCAGTTTCAGGAACCTGTATTCAGGATATAGTGCCAACAGTATTTGAGCATGCTTACACCAAAAGCAGAAGAACATAATTAATCACCTTTCAACTGCTGCAGCATAGCCCATTTTTCCAGGTGCCGGGGCAATATAAAACCTACCAAGTGAAGCAACTCCAGTAGGTCAGCTCCTCCAAAATCTTCTACAAATAGAAATCTCATAAAGAGAAGCAACTTCTTTAAAAAAAGGTACATCTGTTGAGTGGACATGGATCCTGTTCATTCTGGAGAAGCTACGCATACTGAAGTTATAGGATATATGAGGGTCACTACCCTTATATCAACCAATTAATAAAACTTCTTTCATGTAATAGAAAAAGCAACTCATACAATTAGATTATATGCAGAAAATACCGATAATTGTTCCCATCTATAAGTGGGCTTGTTCCTAGACAAATAAGTACGCAAAAAGAGAGTCGAATGAAAAGCCTCCTTGGAAGAAAGATGTAGTCAATTTAGTTCTGCAACCTGGTAATCCTAACAAAAACATCTATATTTTTTATTTCCTAAGTCGACTGTTAGTGTTCTCTCTTAAACATAAGCACAAAGTGGGTGTTGGCAGATTGAAATTATGTACATTAATTCTATGACAAAAGCATCTAGATCCTTCTTATTAGACAAAATGACGAATAGTTGAAATATTTCTAAAGAGTACAGAAATGTAAGTGCACAATGAGCAGCCAACAATGACTTAAAACTTATAGTTTGCTGCATCACAATTCCTTTTATATGGAGTTTTACATCATAATTACACAATATACTTCAAAAGTAGAGTTCATTGAAAATTCACTTCTGCAGCACATAGTCTATTGCAGGCAAAACTTCTTGCTACAATATGGAAATACTTCAGTAGAAGTATTCCAGGCTATGTTTGAGCTATCAATTTCCAGAATCTGATTGATAATCTTTTCATGAGGATAAAAAAAAAACTTCACGCCTAGACAACTAAAGAAACCAACAGTTATTTTACAAGCCTTTCATTTGAGAAAAGCATCATGGCAAACTAGGAGAGATATTTCCTAGCAGATTGAAGATTTCCTGAATTGATACAGGTACAATACCAAGCTATCTTATTTAACTAACATCTATGTATGAATCTATCAATCCTAGGAAAACTCAAGTTCATTACTCAAAAGACACTCAAGTCATCGAAATCGCTGTCATCGTAGCTAAAGATTGCATATATCCTGCCAAAACAGGTTGAATTAGTTTACTATATTTGGAAAGATGGAAAAAAACATGATTACTTTTTCAACAAAACACATATTTCAAGCACATTTTTAACTGTTTAAGGGTATCGAAAGGAAGCTATGGCAATTAAAAGGTACTTTCAACCCACCAAACCAGTAAAAATGTTGTGAAATAGTATACAGTATTAAGTAGCCCATAGGACAGTACTCCTGCAACTCCATATCTCTTTAACCTCTGCAGTAGCCTTCAAAACAAATACCATAGTCAAACAAAAACAGAAAACTTTTACATCAACAATTTGAAAGATGAAAGTCATATATTTTAAATACTTCGCAGAAGCAGAATTTTCCATCCAACAAAAGAACTGGTGATAAATTGTGCTTTGTCAAAAAAAAAAAAACTAGTATAGAAATGCTGTGATTAAAACGATCTTAATTTTCTCTGAAGTTTCATACCAATAGTAAGAAAAGAAAAAATATCATCTTGGAGAAGGGGGTCTGGGAGCGACCACAGGTTCCACTCCAAGAAAACTGTGCTCTAAAATAAGCTTTAATTGAATTTTCATTACTTTTTTTTCTGAAATGTACTGTATTTTCCCCGGTAGGTTCTTTAGTTAAAGACATGATATCTCCCTGATTGTCATCCTTAATTCTTGTAGAGTAGATTCTCAGGGATAAATTACAATCATTTTAAAAATAAAAAGCAGTTATGCAGAATGAACATGTAATTAATATATGGTCATGTCAAGGAAAAAAAAAATCTTTCACCGATCTTTCATAAACAAATCACATTGATAAACTATCATCTCATTAATTGTCTACCAATGTTCTACCGGCCTCCCACTTAACATTGTTCCTTTTCTTCTTGAAATTTCATTATCCTAACAGAATACTATCTCACATAATGTTGTCAAGAGGAACAACAAAATAAAATCTATACATACCATTGTACGTGTTACAAGACTAAAACAAAGATTAGAAGCTTAGAAGCCATCGATTTCTCAAAATTTTGACGGTGCAAAAGTAAATTACTCATTTGGTGAAAATGCTTTTAACGATTTCTTCCCGTTCTTTCTATCTGAAAACGAAAATATTATCATAAGTTCCAACCAAAATAGAAGAAATAAGACTCCCAAAGCATGTGACGACAAAATTACCACGGATATCAGAAGACAGTTCCTTCACATCCCCAGCACGAGCGTCCTCCACCTATAAGAAAGATTAATAGGGTAAGAGCCGCTGAAAATAACTAAAGGTCCACCAAATTCGATGTATTAAAGCTTTCCAGTAACCTTTCCATCGCCAGGCTCGTTATCGAAGCCCAGATTGGCAGTCACGATTCTCCGCAAAGAAGAAGAACTGTACGACCTTCTACCTGAGGCGCCGACCGAAACCCTAAAACAGCTCCACGGCGATGATCGAACGCAGCGCTGTGCCAAGGGATTCGATTAGCAGAGATATGAGAGCGACGACGAGGGCCTAAGACTGCCGCCGTGGAGGGACCTTTACCGAGACTAATGGTGACGGGATCCGGAAGCACCGCA